CTGTTGTCTGCTTTAATTCTCTGCTTTGATGTTTATTTTAACCTTTTCTGTTTCAATGTTATTTTAACTCTTTCAGACATAAATGTTTATTAAAATAACCTTTACAACACGTCACAGATTACAATATGTTAGAGTAACAACTTACAGATAAGAACAAGTTAAAGTTACAGCTTGTATAACAGAGTGAGTTAAAGTAATAACTTGCAAAATATGACAAATTAAAGATACTCAGAACAGTAACAGACAAGTAACAACCTGAGGAATGGAGTGACCTAAGGGAACAACTCATGGAACAAAATGTGAGAAATTCATGTCTTCTGGGGTTAAAAGAGCTATAATTTTTAAATACGCACACAGTGAACTTCACTTAAGTAATTAAACATTCATCCTTTATACTAGGTTCTCTCTGTTATACCTGGCACATAAGATAATTCACTTAAAAGTGAAATATGTTGGTGCTTTTCTGTGGTAATCTATGTGATCACATATTTGGTGCTGATTCTAAGAGCATGATATGATAGGTCCAGACAAGCTTTCTAAATAGTCAGTGGTCTGAGTCATTGGAGAAGTGTACATGCTCCATGGCTCTGATGGAATGAAAAAGCTAATAGTCCAGCTTGCTCTGCCACAGTTCCAAACGGCCAACATGTAGACTGTAACTTCATTTTTGAATCCCTGAGACAGAGAGAGGAGACTTAGTAGACTATGGAGGAAGTAGGTTCATACCAATGTTAAGAATGAGGATCAATAATGTCAGATACAAGAAGTACACAAGATAAATGAGACCTCTTGTCACCCTGGAAAGGACTGGCACTATCTGCCACAGGTCACTAATGTTTATGACAGGGGAACTGAGCCCCTTTGAACATTGTCTGGTATGCTATGAGTATAAGCGAATACATCTCGTTACTCAAATTTGGTACTAATGTCAAGTGTCAACACCAAAACATTTACATGAATGTGACCATTATAAAATGTATCTACTTTCAAGCTAAACAGTAAATGAACATAAAATTGTTTATTTAGAAGAAAAAAAAACATTCAGTTTTGTTGGTACACACTGTGTAACTAAAATGCGTGTTACAAGCTAAGTGTGTGCACAAAGTAAGAATAGGAACACAAGATAAGTGTAATACAGGAAGGCTGAACTCAACATGAAACTGAAACAGTGGGAATGCATGAGGCAGTGAACAAGCAACAAGTAATACATTACTAATGATTTGAAAATTACCTTCTATAGAAAGCCTGCAAACAAAACCAGAAGGGAATTGAAAAGATTACATCTATGGAATAATACACACAGTTAAATTCACAAAGAAACAAAGACGAACCATACAGGTGATTCGGCCAATTAAACAGAAAGAACCCAATGCCTGCAGTGACAGCATACATGGAAATGGAAACACAAAAAGACAGAAGGAGACCTAGAAGATGGATTGACAGAATGACTTTGAGAAAAAAGTAATGGAGGCCATGGTTCCTATAAAAACAGGGGCTGAGTGATGGTGGACAATGGACATCAAGGACTCCCTGGGCACACAAATTCACATGTGGAACAGCTGACTAAGTGGCCTTCCCATGTGCCGTGTTTACAGGAATGTTTTAAAAGGACCTGCTACATTATGATGAATATATGTGTATGTGTGTGTGTATACAGTCTATAAGGATACAGTCTGATAAGGATACAGACATTGTCTCTTCCCACTTTTAAAGACTGCCTATTATCTTCACTTGATTTTCTCAGTGGATTTCTAGTTCCCCGTCAAAATGCTGGGTATCTTTTGGGACTAGTGTACACAAAATGAGAAAATGCTCAGTTCTGAGTAAACCTGTTTATTTAATTTGCAAATACTGTATAAGTATTTTCCCTCTGACAGCTTTTCCCCCCCATTTACATCAATCTTCCTTTCTACATTTATGACAATAATTCAGGAACCATTGCTTTCTTGTAGCAACATGTGGATGTGATTCATGGACTATCTAACAATAATTCAGAACCATTGCTTTCTTGTAGCAACACGTGGATGTGATTTATAGACTACCTAACAATAATTTAGGAACCATTGCTTTCTTGTAGCAACATGTGGATGTGATTCATGGTCTATCTAACAATAATTTAGGAACCATTGCTTTCTTGTAGCAACACGTGGATGTGATTTATAGACTACCTAACAATAATTTAGGAACCATTGCTTTCTTGTAGCAACATGTGGATGTGATTCATGGTCTATCTAACAATAATTTAGGAACCATTGCTTTCTTGTAGCAACACGTGGATGTGATTCATGGACTATCTAACAATAATTTAGGAACCATTGCTTTCTTGTAGCAACATGTGGATGTGATTCATGGACTATCTAACAATAATTTAGGAACCATTGCTTTCTTGTAGCAACATGTGGATGTGATTCATGGACTATCTAACAATAATTTAGGAACCATTGCTTTCTTGTAGCAACATGTGGATGTGATTTATAGACTACCTAACAATAATTCAGAACCATTGCTTTCTTGTAGCAACACGTGGATGTGATTCATGGACTATCTAACAATAATTTAGGAACCATTGCTTTCTTGTAGCAACATGTGGATGTGATTCATGGACTATCTAACAATAATTTAGGAACCATTGCTTTCTTGTAGCAACATGTGGATGTGATTCATGGTCTATCTAACAATAATTTAGGAACCATTGCTTTCTTGTAGCAACACGTGGATGTGATTCATGGACTATCTAACAATAATTTAGGAACCATTGCTTTCTTGTAGCAACATGTGGATGTGATTCATGGACTATCTAACAATAATTTAGGAACCATTGCTTTCTTGTAGCAACATGTGGATGTGATTCATGGACTATCTAACAATAATTTAGGAACCATTGCTTTCTTGTAGCAACATGTGGATGTGATTCATGGACTATCTAACAATAATTTAGGAACCATTGCTTTCTTGTAGCAACATGTGGATGTGATTCATAGACTACCTAACAATAATTCAGAACCATTGCTTTCTTGTAGCAACATGTGGATGTGATTCATGGACTATCTAACAATAATTTAGGAACCATTGCTTTCTTGTAGCAACATGTGGATGTGATTCATGGACTATCTAACAATAATTTAGGAACCATTGCTTTCTTGTAGCAACATGTGGATGTGATTCATGGACTATCTAACAATAATTTAGGAACCATTGCTTTCTTGTAGCAACATGTGGATGTGATTCATGGACTATCTAACAATAATTTAGGAACCATTGCTTTCTTGTAGCAACATGTGGATGTGATTCATGGACTATCTAACAATAATTTAGGAACCATTGCTTTCTTGTAGCAACATGTGGATGTGATTCATGGACTATCTAACAATAATTTAGGAACCATTGCTTTCTTGTAGCAACATGTGGATGTGATTCATGGACTATCTAACAATAATTTAGGAACCATTGCTTTCTTGTAGCAACATGTGGATGTGATTCATGGACTATCTAACAATAATTTAGGAACCATTGCTTTCTTGTAGCAACATGTGGATGTGATTCATGGACTATCTAACAATAATTTAGGAACCATTGCTTTCTTGTAGCAACATGTGGATGTGATTCATGGACTATCTAACAATAATTTAGGAACCATTGCTTTCTTGTAGCAACATGTGGATGTGATTCATAGACTACCTAACAATAATTCAGAACCATTGCTTTCTTGTAGCAACATGTGGATGTGATTCATGGACTATCTAACAATAATTTAGGAACCATTGCTTTCTTGTAGCAACATGTGGATGTGATTCATAGACTACCTAACAATAATTCAGAACCATTGCTTTCTTGTAGCAACACGTGGATGTGATTTATAGACTACCTAACAATAATTTAGGAACCATTGCTTTCTTGTAGCAACATGTGGATGTGATTCATGGACTATCTAACAATAATTTAGGAACCATTGCTTTCTTGTAGCAACATGTGGATGTGATTTATGGACTACCTAACAATAATTCAGGAAAAATGTTATGTTATCGTAAAAAACATCTTTGCACAGTGGGCATTCCCGTGTGTGCTAAGTCCTCCAATGCAGCAGCCACTCCAATGTACCTCTAACCTATAATTTATAGACCAATCAGCACTCTGTGGATGATGTTGTCAGCATTATGGCGGCCACCTTTACTTCCTTGAACCCATGACCTTCCGATCCACAGATGAGCATCTAGCTGCTACACCATAGCCATGATAACTTTCCTGGCTCTAACTATGACATTGTCCCAGCAAACAAAAAGGCTTTTCTGCCGAAAATGCTGTAGAAAGATTCTTATAATGCTAGGAACAAGAACAGAAATTTAGACATCCTAAAAGATCCGAACATCAAGGAAACTTGGCTCATAAACCACATCTTGTCTTGGAAACTAAAATACTGTAGCCATAGCAAGTGCCACAGTGCACTGGAAAGAACAATGACAGAGGGCATGGCATTTGGTAAGAGGGATAGGGACTGACCTGCCTAAAGATGAGCAAGGACATATGCGACACCTTGGTCAGGAAAGTGCAAGAGGTGGGACAGCTGGCAAGGGACCAAAATTCTTCCAGGCAGGCTGTGATTGCAGCGACAGTCTGTAAAAGGCATGCTACATGATGATGAATGGGAAACCATTAGGGCCATTGAAAAAAACCATGATAAATAAAACTACAAACAGTCAGCACTGACAGAGGAAAATATGACAAGCAGGGAGCAATGCTGCCTGACACTACAGGTGAGTCACCAGGAATGACAGCCACTGACTGCATGGTAATGATGATTTTAAAAGAAGCAGAATAAAGAAAAAGATCATGGAAAGGCACCAATAGTTGAACACTATCATGGACAATGGAGATAAATTGCTTTAATGTTGATGTTTCAGAAGCAATAAACTAAATCTACTCAATATACCATCTGTCGAATGATCATAGTCAATGCTATGTATTGATTAAACATTGCAATTCAACAGTTGAACAAGAGAAAACTATGACTGTTTCTTGCTCCCTGCCTCTGAATCACGCTGCAGCTTGCATCTGTAAATAATTCGTTCAAAGTGGGCCAGGTAAAACAGGGAGATGATTCTAAAGAGGCCCATTGTAACAACCTGAAACATAAATGACACCATTTAAGCAATACTGTTACAGTCTGCAACATACATGAGCAAAGCAGGAAAACCTGTCAAAGAAAAGCAAAATACACCCCCCACCCCCCAAAAGAAAAGAAAAGCTATTCTTAAATGCAGATGATAATCTGTGATGTGCATAAACAGTAAAAGAATACATCATTTACTACTGAAAGGTTTGACAGACACTTTGACGGACCAGTTCATCCATTTCAACTGTTTCGCACCCAATACAAGTGTGGTCTAGTGCAGAGATTATTCAATCGCACTAGACAGATTTGTTGCAGTGACATGATACAAACAGAATTTAAAACGATTAAACAAACACTGCTTTCTAACGGATATCCAAGTGGTTTTATAAGGCGCCACTGCCAGCTGTCTAAACCAATCACCATGGAAACGTTGGTGCCAAAAACAAAATTATATGCATCTAATATTTTAGGGGGATGATGTTTATATGACCGGCTCGAAATAGTAGTCAGTCAAGCTTTTTATGCAGCCATTCCTGTTATCAGATTAAAAAATACTGTAATTCCTATACCACCAGTGAAAAAACCTGTACCAATGTGCGCCAAATCTAACCGTATTAACCTTTATTGCTGCATATGTGGGCAGAACCGACCATCAACTGGAGAAATGGGTTGCTGAACATATTCCACTATGGGTGGTAAAAGCAATGTAGAACAATAACAATAACAAATCAGGTGACTGGTTGAAAAAAATCCATCATCAGCAACTGCATGCCATATTCTAAATTCTGGGCACATTGTAAACAAAGATGATGCATCTTGAATGACCACGTGCTCCGATCTCCTCTTGAGTATGTCTCCAAGTGTTTTAGGCTAACAACTGCCATTCTATTCTGGCTGATGTAATGATGGACGGCTCCCGCATGGTTTTCGGGCCCAGCAGTTGCTGTCGTGAGCGGCATGCTCTTCTGTCAACCTGAAAATCATAGGCTCCATTCTGCATGCAGCCGGGTTATTCTTATACACTACCTTGGCTACCAGGTGACCCAGCCTTTAATCAGTACCAGGTGAAGTCATGGGAAGTAAAAACAGCTGGCACAATGCTGAACAGATCACCCATCAAGGGCCAATGGGTCTATAAAAATATGAATCTAACCTCATATGCTCAAAGCGTTTTTAGCTGTAAAGGAACATTTATTTTTCAAACCTCTGGCCCTGCAGGTGAGCGCATAGCCAATACAATAAACCCATTCAACAAAAAAGCAAAAGATGTTTCCATGTTCAGCAAGTCTGACCTATTTATTAACTGGATAAGACAACGGCTACTGGAAAAACTATCATACCAAAATAGAATATTGGACATAATCAGCTGACTGTACAATTACAGACATGAAACATTCTGTTCAACCCATCCTAGTTATAACTGGGATAAATAATGTTTCTTCTAATTCAGTACTCAATATTTATGCTTGTCAATTACTTCTAACTGTTTGTTTTATCTGCAATCCTGTTTATATAATTACATTTTCATGAGACTGTTCAATCCATCTTTGTTTTTACTAGGATGAGTTAAATTTCTTCTACAACAATGTTCTACAACTTCTGTTTCTTTGTTATTATATTTTGTGTTATCAGTTGACGGTCACAAGTAAGGTCAAGGACCATTTTCACATCAGTGGTGCATCGGGCATCTAATGCTAGCCTCATAATTCTGCAGACCAATCAATCCGACCATGCGGTCAACATCACATCCACTGCCTTTACTTCTCAGGTTTTTACCTGGTACACATTTTAGGCTGGGTCGATGTTGGAGCCAATGTCATTTTTTTTAAATTCTGAGTTAATGAGAATTTGAACATACAAATTCTAGTCCCACAATAACCTCTATCTCTGCCATGCACAGCCATCTTTATTCTTTACTTTATCTAACTTTACAATTTTATTACTGACTTGAAATCAAGGGTTCCAGGGATTTTTAAAGGAAATTAGAAAGAATTTCATCAAACTGATGCAAAATTTCTGGCTGAAGTTACTGACCTCAGGTCTTTTTTTCCCCCTCCTTTTTATCTTCCTTGGCAAAAAGGTTTACATAGTGTGCAACAAGATGCCTTTTCTGGAGCAAACACTGGGATTATTATTGACTTAACTCTGCCTGGTACATGAATTTTATTGACATTTATTTTGCTCGTATTGTCATTTGTTGTCCAGCTGTTCAGACTTTCCACATACATTTGCTGCTGCCTTTCTCTTCGTGGCTTCAAAATTCTATGAAAACATATGACAGAAGTAGTGATTATAGGTTGTGATAATGGTCATTCTGCCTTTTCTATTTGTATATTTAAATCTCTGTTTGTCCTTTTTATCTTTATTTACAGTGCTGCCTTACTAGGTGTGTGAAACATTCCTGAATTAGCGGAAACACTTTTGAAAGACTAAAATGGTATAGTTTTAGCTTGAGAAATGTTTGGCACATGAAAACGATTCAAATGATTATAGTGAGAAGGATCAGTGCAGCATACAGGAGATAAGCTGACATGTTTTCAGGTTTTTATTATTGGTTTTATCTGGATATCAGAAGAGGCGTTCACATTTGCTAAGATATGTCAATCAAACTTCCTATTAATAAAAATGTGTTAATGAACAGAAAAATAGCTAAAAGAATTAGTATACCTCACCTATAGAAACAGATATTTCACTGGCTTTCCTATGCATTTTATACCTGGTGAGCCATCGAGCTGTTTTCCTTATACCCTGAAGATCACAGGTTCATTTTCAGAGAGCATTATTCAGGTCCCATGCACAATTTTTGGGGAGATCCTTAGAGACTGTCTCTGGAGCTATGGAGTCTGTCCTTTATGAGACTCTATCAGCTAGTGGCCAGCAACTCTTCAGAAAGGGCTTATCCAAATTTTCCTAATGTAACAGTCTGAACTATTCAACAAAATAAATTAAACACAAACTGTAGATAAAAATGCACAGTTACCTGTTGGGTTGCCTCCATTAAAGATGTCACTGGTGAGAAGCCACAAGTCAGATTAGATAACATGATTCCATCTAAACTTATTGAACTGAAGAATTTGCCTACCTGAAAAAAAAAATCATGTGAACACAGAATATTTTACTGGTATTGTCATGTGTCCCAATACTAAATGTTTCTATATGAATACCACCACTATTTGAGGATTTTCCACATCACTGTTATCACTTAATATAATCATGTGCCATGTCAGTAAATGGGGACATTCTGGACTATGTTATCACTCAATTTAATCATGTGCCATGTCAGTAAGTGGGGACATTCTGGACTATGTTATCACTCAATAAAATCCTGTGCCATGTCAGTAAGTGGGGACATTCTGTACTATGTTATCACTCAATATAATCATGTGCCATGTCAGTAAGTGGGGACATTCTGTACTATGTTATCACTCAATATAATCATGTGCCATGTCAGTAAGTGGGGACATTCTGTACTATGTTATCACTCAATATAATCATGTGCCATGTCAGTAAGTGGGGAAATTCTGTACTGTTTTCACTCAATAAAATCATGTGCCATGTCAGTAAGTGGGGACATTCTGTACTATGTTATCACTCAATATAATCATGTGCCACGTCAGTAAGTGGGGACATTCTGTACTATGTTATCACTCAATATAATCATGTGCCATGTCAGTAAGTGGGGACATTCTGTACTATGTTATCACTCAATATAATCATGTGCCATGTCAGTAAGTGGGGACATTCTGTACTATGTTATCACTCAATATAATCATGTGCCATGTCAGTAAGTGGGGACATTCTGTACTATGTTATCACTCAATATAATCATGTGCCATGTCAGTAAGTGGGGAAATTCTGTACTATGTTTTCACTCAAAACAATCATGTGCCATGTCAGTAAGTGGGGACATTATGTACTATGTTTTCACTCAAAACAATCATGTGCCATGTCAGTAAGTGGGGACATTATGTACTATCTTATCACTCAATGTAATCATGTGCCATGTCAGTAATTGGGGACATTCTGTACTATCTCATATGATGAGTCTAAAATCAGTGATTTTTTTATAACTTGTTTCACAATTTTGCCAAGTTAAAAGGTTATTAGAAAACTGAATCACAAGCCAAGACTTCATTTGTAATCTATGATAATCCAACACTTAACACTCAAAGGCAGTAGCAGAAGCCATACAGATCAGAAGAGACAATCACCATCATCATGTAGCAGGTCCTTTGCAGATGTCGCTCTCATCACGGTCTGCCTGAAAAAAACTCGGTCTCTCGCCAGCTCTCCCGTATCATGCGCACTTTCATACTTAAGTAGTCACTTATATCCTGCACCCATCTACGTGTTGGTCGGCCCCTGCCTCTCCTTCCTGGTACCATGCCTTCTGCTATAATTATTTCCAATCCGCTGTGGTGCTTGATATGACCAAAATATTTCAGCTTCCGAGACAGGATGCTGTTTATTAGCCAATCTTTCTTGATGTTCAGATCTTTCAAGATGTCAGTATTTCTCCTCTTTTTCATCCAAGATATTCTGAGAATTTTTCTATAGCATTTCAGCTCAAAAGCCGCTATTCTCTTTCTTAAGGACTGGGAGATAGTCCACGACTCCCATCTGTATGTTGCTACAGGGAAAATGCATGCTCTCAAAATTTTAATTTTGATCTCCTTGTTGGTGCTTAACCATAGACAATACACAAGTGAAAAACCTCAGACCTTATATAAGTGCTCATTAACCCACTGACTACCAAGTCCGTTAAAATACTATGTCATATTATTGCAGTGGTTATTTCTGTATTTGTGTTATGATGTAAATTTTTATGAAAGCATTTATAAGACAAATGTCAGTCAGCTCTCAATTGACCTGTCCTGTCAGTTCACTATATGTCTGAAAAATATGTTATCAATGAATTTGTATATACGATGCTATGGGATAATTCTAATACTTCAAATTCATGTCTTGATTAGATGCATATTGGTAGGACAATAGTAATCACATTTTGATACTGCAGGAGAAACCATGTTGGGTGTAAAAGCCTATTTATAAAACGCTTTATTCAAGTGGAATGGATAGATTCCTGTACTCATTCTTAGAGTGTTGCTTAAACTCCTTATTATTCTTGTTTTTCTGCTGAAGGACATAAGCATATGTGAGGAATTATTGTCCAGCCAAAATGGACACTAGGCACGGCCACTGTTTTGAGCTGCAGCAAATTTATTTGCTTCTGCCAGACAGTGGCTGTTGCATTTTTGCTCCATTTGTAGACTGATTTGCGGTGTTAAGGAGAATTGAGTCTGTCTAATTGAACAGAAAGGCAGAAACTGTTTCCTGAACACCTTGTTGATTATGACAGTCTACAATCCGATCTAAGACTGAATAGATCAGTTACCTACAAGTGATCTGAAATAGAGGAACAGAACCATGAATCCATTGGCTGTGTACATTACGGCTGGTCTTCAGTTGGCTATATACTGTGAGGGTGTTAAGGAGATGTCAGGCTGTCTAATCCAACAGAAAAGCAGAAACTGTATCCTTAACCCATGGTTTGTTGTCTAATGACAGTCTATAATCTGATCTCAGATTGAGTGTACCAGTCAACTACAAGTGATCTGAAAGAGAGAAACAGAACCTAAACCCACTGGCTGATGGTCTCAATGCCAGTACCTTATCTGGCTCTGCTGTATGTGTAAGTATTCCAGACTGATTCAAACGAGGAGCAGAACTCAGAACCCGAAACCGCTGACTGTCAAAATGACAGTAAAATGCCTGCTCATGATGCTGAAAAGTAAGTCTAAGCCAGAGGTTCATTTATAAGCTTATAACTAGAGCACTCTGGAACTTCAACTGAAGAAAGTCCTTATGAAGAACCAGATTAACAAGATCATTTGTTTGTTATAATTATAGGAGCAATTTTGACATGCTCTTGATCAAATGTTTTCTGAGTCCCGTAGGTTTGTGAACCATAGTGCCTTGGCACTGCATTCGATTTTTGGCCCTGATTATAGTTCACGATTACTATATGTTGCTTTAGTATGATAAATAAATGCTGAAATTATAACTTTTTTCTTATTATTTTAACCATAAGTATGTATGATGTTTCTACAAGAATGTTTCTTCATCTTTACTGTGATACAGTTGTAAAGTAAAGATCCCTTTCCACACCTTGGGCGCATCGGGCACATGGGAAGAGCATCCCATATTTAAACAGGTGGTAAGGTAGTCAGAATTACGCCGGCTGTCTTTACTTCCCATGACATCCATCCTGATACCCATTTTAGGCTGGATCAACCTGCGAATTACAAGTCTTTTTTACATACTTTAGAAACACAGTTGCGGTTCTATATAAAGTATGGGTTGGTATTTACTAGATATTTCCCAGGTGTCCACATTTTCACTTTTAAGTGGGTCTCACCTACCATTTAGTTCCCACAACAGGAATTACTGTCTGCTTATATAATAATACCCTGGGACAAAACCCTTAAATAAAGTTACAGTCAAGCTACTTCAGCAGTTTTTTGGTATTCTTGAGATAAGGATTGATGGCTTTCTTATAAAACTATTCCTCTCCTGCAAAGACTGATTGTCTTTTGTGACAATCAGTGGTTGCAGTTTGGTTAAAAAACAAGAAGGCTAAAATAATTCTGGATGAGAGCTCTGCCTAACTGTTTGCCATTTTGTCCAAAGAATTTTTGATGAAGTATGTGAATGAGCTGTCAAAAAGCCACAAGAATAGTCTTTTCTCAAACCATCTATCATGGGAACTGAACCCTGGTAAACACTGAAGAATGCAATGAAACAATTTTCACAGACACATCTAATAATACACTTACATGACAGAGTCTATACAAACTAATGTAACATTAAATACTAACCTGTCACTGCCATTGAAACATCATGAAAAATCATTTTTGTCAGTTTTGATCATGTTTTTAATGGCAGTTCATAAAAATTGTCACTCACGTTCGTCAAACTATTCAAAAAAATCTTTTATTTTCCCTTTCTGATTTAACCACACCACACCACACACAAAATCATGAAAATAACCCAGGCAACAGAAATATTCCCCAAAATGTTGCCACCTCAACAGCTCTGATGATCAGCTGCCATTATCAAAAGCATAACATGTCACTGACATGAAAGCTCACAAAAAAAAATTCTTGAAAAATTTACTTGAGGCATTACAGAGCTGTTTTCATGTCAGTGGGTCAACAGCAATAATAATAATTAATGTTATCTTTCAGCAAAAAATAAACAGAACTATTGAGCAGAGACTGCAGTTATTTCATGATTCTTTTTATTACTGTTGAACAAAAGAGAATCTCAGTCTGGGCTCTATGTGTCTTCTGTTTTTACTAAACAAACTATCATCGAAAAACACAACTTACCACAGTGTCTGAGAGGATTACAGTTGCAACATTTTCGGCAGTAAGCAGCCCAGAAGTTTCTGATATCAGCTTAGTCTCAAGAGGCTAAAAGTAAACACATCCTAATAATACTACTGTATCAACACAATTTGAACCAATGACCAACAGTTGAAATTACCAAATAAGCAGCAACAACTGGGACAGTGTGGCTAAGCAATTAGCTTGGACAAAAGACTAGATAAATCTTTGCATTAACATATTATTCATTATAAATTATCAATGAAGCAATTATTTCTAACAGAAATAAATACTGTATATCAATTAGAAGACAAAATGTTATTTGTTCTAATGTTAAAAACTAGATTTCACAAGTCATTTACAGCAACCGATGTAGCTGGTTTTCAATTTGTATGGACTGTAAATAGTGTAACCAAATAATTTTGAAGCATACAGTAAAGAATACAAATTTGATAATATATTTCTTAAGACTTTCTAAAGAACAGAACAGGTACAGCATGTTTCTCATGGTTTTCTAAAGGATAGAACTGGGACAGTATATTTTTCAGGAAGGGTTTCTAAAGAGTACATCTGGGACATTATATTTCTGAAGGGTTTCTAAAGAGTACAACTAGGACATTATATTTCTGAAGGGTTTCTAAAGAGTACAACTGGGACATTATATTTCTGAAGGGTTTCTAAAGAGTACATCTGGGACATTATATTTCTGAAGGGTTTCTAAAGAGTACAACTGGGACATTATATTTCTGAAGGGTTTCTAAAGAGTACATCTGGGACATTATATTTCTGAAGGGTTTCTAAAGGATAAAACTGGGACAGTATATTCCTTAACATCTTGTAATGAATACAACTTGGGCTATATTTTACAAGAAGAGTTTCTAAAGAATACAAATGGGACAGTAAAGGTTTATATTTAGATACATTAACAAAAAAGTGTCAGCTCTGACCTAACAAGTTAAAAGAAAAAGATTTAGAAAGCTATTAGACAACAGAAGACATTATCTCCTGGTGGAGCAGTCATTGCAACTGACATTTATAATTATTAGAGAAAAGTTAATTTCAAGTTCAGATTTTTAGAAAAACCACCAAAAAATGTGCCATCCTCATACTTCAGTCCAGTGGAAGGACAGAGATAAATTAGTCTGACATAGCCAGAAAATTCACATGGACACCCTTAGATGAATAAAGAGTGTAAAGAGCAACTCAGAAGAATAATTGGTTACTCATTTCTAAAGGAAACAACCTACGCTCTTTGGATATGTCATTGAGAATGAGTATGGAGTTTCAGCTATGAGCAAACGGGTCACCCCATCTTTGCTCCGCTCCTGTGCCAACGAAAAACACACATAATGTTTATCACAGTCCCTTGTGGAAAGATTGACAGACTGCTCTCTCAGCATATCTAGCATACGCTCGCATTAAAGCATACGGTAGCCATTTGAAGTGCTAACACAAACAGTCCAACATTAGAAATGCAGTTCATCATTGATGGTAGCAGAAGTCGCCAACCGATCAGCAGTTGCCCATGCGATCAATTTTAATCACATACGGGCACCGCCAACATTGCACGACAGGCATCGCGCCAATTTTCTGAATCTACAATTCACACCACTACGTTGGTCACAGTCGAAAAAACATTCCAAATGCAATCTACAGCTCACAGTGTCATGCCATGCTTTCAACTCAGAAGTTGGGTGACGAAACTCTATCCAGTCTATAAATGGAGCAAGAATGCATCGGCCACCGTCCGGCAGAAGCAAAAAATGTGCCTCTACTTCGAACAGTGCTGCTGCCTAGCGCCCATTTTAACCGGAAGAGATATAGGATGTTCTGAGGATTTCGGAAGCAACGTGTCCACATCACTGCAAAGAATATGCGATTTGGGAGGGAAGATCTACACAGTCAAGCATGAGAAGCACACCAAAGTCTTCTTAACCAACATAGGACTGGCACTATTAACCGCACGACGTTGATGAATATGCTGAGAGGGAAATCTTAGCGCCTATGGATGTGTTCAGAGTGCTGCAAAGATAATCTAACTCACAACTCATAACCTTTGACAAAGCAGTCGTCTTAGGATTTAACCCAATGTCTTCTGTTGCACCACTAGTGAGGCATTTAGCAATCACAATCTCCACTCTCGTCCCACGTCCAGTTTCCTCCCAGAGAATGAGTAACTTGGAATATGTAACAGCAGAAGTGACGGAAGGGACGAGAGATTGAGAAAGATTTGGTGTAAAAAAACATCAATGTCAGAGTTCAGCTGGGTCAAGAACTGACACTACAGCAGAGTGGACACTCCTATCTTCATCTTAAGAAGCCAACTAAGAGTTCCAATTTTAATGATACTTCTTCTTCTTCTAAGTTGCGTATCCTTTACAGGAGGTTGCAGAACCAACCCTAGCAGCCCCTGGCTGTTGTGTGGTTTCTCTAGGCAAATTTACGTCCAGTAGTTTGCCATTGCTTTCTGGACGGTCAGCCCCCTGATACCACTGTCAAAACAAACGCAAGGCACGTAATGATACAAGCAGCAATAATAGCAATATCAGAGAAGATACATTTTCCTCTATGACCATATACCATTTTTTGACACATAAGTATCAATATTAAATTTTTAAAATAATTATGAATATTTTTGCACCAAATTCCACAAAGTCTGCATGTTTAAAATTGGAACCTGATAGCTAGTTATCAGGAGAAAGTGTTAACATTTGAATACAAAGTTCTGCCCAGATAAATATACAAACAAAAGTTAACTTTATTGCTTAAAAAAAAAGCATTTTTTTTTAACTAGAAACACTCCTCTTTGCCCCAAATGTTATTTTTAGCATAGTAAAAAACCAGAGTTATACAGTAACACAAACAGCAATAAACGGCAGTTTCACACACCTTGGTCTTCTGTTCTTCCCGATAACCGGATGTGTCTGTGTCTGGAGGAAATGCCAAAGTCAAATAAATGTTGTACGGCTTCACCTTAGGCAGACAAGTACAATCAGATATTACATACATACATGTTTAGGAAAAAAAAAGCAGAAATTGACAATTGGTATATATTAAAAATATTTTGGTGGTTTTAACATGACACATGTACCATTATCAAGTACATTCATAACATCGGCTGTTTATCTCTGGTCAAAACCCAGTATTTAGTTTATAACTGACAATATTAAAGATATGGCAACAAAATATGGAGTGGACTTAGCTCCGTTTATGCTAAGTCGAACAACATCATAACAAGTGCTGGAAACGGCTAGCCTTGACATCCAGGCAGCAAAACATTGAGTCAGTGTGGCCATCCGAGCAGTGACACCTGACGCACTGAGGTGGACTTTCCGCAACATGGAATGCCATGTCCAATGCTGTCTGGATACCAATAGTGGCCATTTGCAGCATCGGTTATGATGTCAACCGACTTCGCATGAATGGATGTGAGTCCACTCCAAATTTTGCTGCTATATCTTTATTATTGTTCGAGTTATGAGCGAAATATTGGGTTCCGCACCGCATGAAAAAATCTGATACATATTGTCATGAGTCAAGTTTACCAGACACTGTGATTGAAACACAAACAACTAAACTTTGACTCGTAACAGCAGACAGGTCAATTCCTGGTCAGACAGGTTGTGTGTAGACAAGATGGGCAGGGGTATTTAGGTAACTGAGTGTTACAGGGGAGAGGAGTTTACAAGGGGACTTGACAAACGGGTAGACCAATACACAGTAGTTGGTAGTTTGACAGTCTAGTGGGTGGATGTGGCGTTTGGTATCCCTGAAATGTGAGAACTGTTTAGGCTTGGCGTGAACTGCATCTAAAGCTGTGGGGAGGAGAGCAGTAGTTGTTCATACTTTTTACCAGTGTTCTTTCTGTGAAGCCGGGATTATAAAGTTAGATCTTGTAGCCAGGATGATGAGTTAATTATTACTCCAGACGGTCTGCTAGCCTCTCTTGACTTTGTTCATATTGCTAGTATGATATATGAACAACTATACCAGCCTACTGTTGATGTACATAGCCAATGACTACCTGGGTTTAGTGTGCTTGTGAGCTAAAAGAATAAATGGGCGACTACTCAGTAGCCGATAACTTTGTGTGGAAGGTAGACTAAATATGCAACTTTTATGAGCGCTTCAATAAAAATTATTTGAGAAGTGGAAACACGGTAATCAATGTTAACATGTTAATGAAAGTACAGGCCTACTAACACAAATAACAACGGTACCTCTGTCACAAAAAGGTATCTGGCACATATATTAGCTAACAAGCTGTAGTAGCATGTTAGAACTGAGAGTTTAGAAACCTACAACAACTTACTGACCAGACTTAATTTTTTCCCTTTTTTAAGTAGGAAAGAACTCAAGTTTGCTATCAAGTATAAGGTTAAAAAAAAAATTAGCCAATAACATAAAGAAGCATGTTAGAACAGAGAGTTTCAGAAACCTACAATAATCCAGTGAACAGACTAAAAAATAAAAAGTCCACTCCTGTTGTGAAACCAGACATTGACTATCAATTAGGAGTTATTCTTTATGAGAAGAAATTGCCAGGAATTTAGAAAGATGAAGTCAATAGCCACATACAATAAATATCTGACTACTCACACAGATGGTTCAAAAGAGGAAGATAGGTTAAAGTTAGTTGCGTATCCTTTACAGGACATTGCAGAACCAACCCCAGCATTTTTGTACTCTTGTGGTTTTCCTAGGCAAGTTTACGTCCAGTAGTTTGTCACTGCTTTCTGGGCGGTTGGCTTTTCGATACCATTGTTGAAACCAATGCAAGGCCTGCAGCTGGGATCGATCCCCAGCACTACAAAGCGCTTACGTAACGCCTAAGCCACAGACGCCGATATCAATCGATAGCAATATATCAATCTTTTTTTTGTCTTACAAAAATAGTTTCTGTTCTGACGGCACCAGAAATGGTAAATGATACCCCCAAAAAGGCTGACTGTTTCAACAGGTTCTGTCTATAATTAAGGTTAATAAAAATACCAAGATGTTCAGCAAGAATGACACAGCAGGGGAATTCTTAGCTTCTACTTATCTAAATAAAAAAGGATGTTCAGTGCTGATTATGTAGGCACTAGCATGTGTGGGAACTCAACGACATTAAAGAGGCAGCCACAGAAGCAAAGAAAAGCATAACAAATAATAAAATACACGTAGCTACTAGATGTTATAAATCTGTAATAACCAAAAAAAAAAAAAAAATTAATAACTGAAAAAAAAGAGTGGACAATAATGAGAGACAAAAGCCTGAAGGAAAGACATGCACATAAATTATTAACATAAAATTAACTGTCAAATAAGTAATACACTAAAACTTATTTGCATAAGAAATTACTGAGAATGCAGCTTTGAGCGGTTTATAAATAACTGACAAATATTAATATCTGTTGATGAAAAAGACAAAACATATCATCATCATCAGGTGCCTTGCCAACTGGCGTAGGCGATCATGCCTCTCCACAATCTCCTGCAGCATGTATCAGTTCGTGTGCGGACACACCTCCATGCCATGCAACAAGACTGTCAAGAATCTTCTCTCGTTGTCTTCCTCTACCCCTCCTTCCACAGATTTTTCGAGCGGTCACAACATGTTCCATTTTCCCACTTATAACAAGGTCGAAAAATGATAACTGTCTCCTTCTGATGTCTGTTTGTCTTCCGGCTCCCGTCTCTTTCAAAACCTCTTGGTTGCTCTTTTTGACTGTCCAAGGTATTTTAAGAATTCTTCTGTAAAACCATATCTCTAAAGCCTCAAGAAATTGTTTGGCCTGCCTACCGATTGTCCAGGACTCACAGCCATATGTTAAAACTGGATGTATGTAGCAAGCAAGAATATTTTTTTCTAACCCTCAATGACAAAGATATATTGCATAAGATGTTCTTCATTTTATAAAATACAGTTTTTGCCTGTCCTATTCTGTTTCTTATCTCAGTTATGCATCTTCCATCTGATGTTATCCATGTACCCAGATACCTAAATTTCTGTACCTGTCTCAAAATAACACCATCGGCTTTTATTGCACATTTATGAAATAATACTTTTCTTTGATACCACCATTACCTCTGTCTTCCCATTATTCAAACTGAGGCCCATTCTTCCACTTTCTACCACCACAATGTCTATCATTTTCTGTAGTTCTGACTTGTTGCTATCAAGAATGTGTCATCTGCATAACGTAAATTGTTAATATTGTGCCCACTAATCATAGTTCCGGGCATTTCAATTAAAGATCTCATTATATATTCACTGTATAGCGAAAATAAATCAGGTGACAGTACACACCCTTGTCGTACGCCCCTCTTTTTGCTTTGAAATGTACCTAAACAGTTGTTAATTCTTATAGCTGCCAATACATATTCTTCATTATTCGTAGATCTTTTCCATCAATGTTTAATTTTTCTAACAGTTTCATTACTTCTTCATGCTTCACACAGTAAAATGCTTTTGTATAGTCTATGAATAATAAGTACAAATCAGTCTTTACTTCTATAGCTCTTTCTGACAATGTCCTCAGGATGTATATGGCATTGTTTGTACCTTTTCCTTCTACAAATCCACATTGTTCATCGCTGACTTCTGGTTTTATTTTGATTTTTATTCTTCTCATAATTATTCTCAGTGAAATCTTCCTCATGTGACTCATAAGACTTATTGTGCAATGGTCTTCACATTTTAAAGTGCCTGGTTTCTTTGGCAGAGCTATAAATATGGATTTTAAAAGGTGATTTGGAATATACCCACTATTATAAATATCATTTAAAAGTTTAGTTACTATTTCAATTCCAAAATCTCCCAGTGCTTCAGTTTCTTCCAGTGAGATGTTGTCTGGCACTGGTGCTTTTCCTTTTTTCATATGATGCAATGCATCCTCAACTTCTGCAGTCATTATAAGTGGACCATCATTGTTGGTCTGCAGTTCTACATCTGGTCTATTATCATCATACAATTCCCCTATATACTCTGTCCATCTGTTAATTATATTACTGTCTCATTAATATGTTGCCATCTTTTGATTTTAAACATCCAGTGCTGTTTTGTGTCATCTTTCCTTAACATATTTGTCTTTTGGTACATGGAATGTGAGTCTGTGATGTGATTTTCCCCAACCTCTGTACTCATTTGATTCAGCCAGGCTTCTTTAGTCACTTTGCATTTGTTCACTATTTCTTTTTGTATTCTAGAGTATTCTTCTTTATCATTCTTTTTCTTCCTTCTTTCATCCATCAACTGTAGAATTTCGGTTGACATTATTTCTTTATTGCAACTCTATGGGTTGGTGGGATTGTCTCTTATCCTAATATATCCTAAGTATAATTCAGAAGGATATCACTAATTAATATTTCCATATTCTCCCAACTGGTACAGTTATAGGTTGCCACAACATCACAAAACTCAGTAGGAGACTGAAAATATATGCTCACACAATCGGCCCAAGGTGCATAAATAACTCGGACACAAATTTCAAGCAGAAAGGTCAGGTAAGTAAAGTACTGACACATAAGGGAAAATGCGGTTAGAATGTTGCCATCTTATGGAAGACAAGAAATTACAAACAAAAGTGACCAGCATAAAAAGCAAGACAAGATCTAGTAATGCAAAAGGCCAACAAAGACAGATGTACTGGGAAAAAAGTTGACGACCGCTCTACACAGCTAGATAGAACAGATTTGGTCTGAAAGCACATAATACCTCCATCTGTAGAGCCTCTGCTAGCCCTCGTAAAGCAAACTTGGATGCAGAATAAGCTGTAAATCCAAACAAGCCAATCTGACCTGCCTGGGATGACACAAAAACAATACGTCCTTGACCTCTGGCTTTCATAGCAGGAACTATTGCACGGGTGGCATGAACAGCACTCATGTAATTAATGTCGATCATTTTCTGAGGAAATACAATTATTTTGACACAATAAATCTTCAGATATCTGCAGATAGGTAAAATTATTCTATTAAATGTAAGTGACTGTAGTGGAACCAACAGTGACAACAATAACATACACTGAGGTGAAAACATGAAACCATTTGTGCTCATTTTAATTCACCTACCCATTTATTTCTTCTTCTCTACCCACGGAATGCCTCACAGCATCACGTTCAGGAGTACATCTCTGCAACGGGCCATTTCTAGCCGGTTTGTTAGATGTATTCATTTTTCTACAAGCATGAGATAAACCAGTCTCAGTCTGCTGGACCAGTCACAGTGTTTTCAAACTTCTTAGAAGGTCACACTTGAACTAGACTATCACATTCAGGCTAGTATAACATGACTCTCACTCTGGGATGTCCGAAGACTCCAGTTAGATGCTGACCACAAAATAAATATCCACTTAACATGCCATCTTGACACAATTTTATCCACCATAAAACTCATTTCAGTCAATTCTTTCCACAATCTATTCAGAAATCAAAAAATAATGCTGAAACTTCAAAAATCAGTATGCAAATAAAAGACCGTGGGACAAAAGAATTTATCACACATACCGAAGAAAAAAATTTCTGCTGCTGCTTTTTCTTCACTCCTTTCAGACATCATCCTACTAATATATTTAGAAATAAGAAATAATTTCAGGCTATTACTATCTCAATAGAATATGTCCAGCAATGAAACCAATGTGAACCAAAGATATCCATGGTAGGTAGATAACTGTTCCCCTCCAGGATTGTACTGAGTTGGATAACACCTCAAATAATAAAATAAAAACAGTCAAGGACCCTTTTCCATGTTCTTATCTGCACTAAGTAAATAGTGCTACATCTATACTGTATAGACCAGTGGACAATCATTTCATTTCCCTAGACTTTAACTGCTATCCATTTTAGGCTGAGGCAAACGTTATTTAAAAAAAATAAAAAATGCTAAATGCGAATTTCAACCCATGACCTTCAGTTCAGGGGCAAATGTCTAAGCCACTACACCAATGTGGCTCATAGCATTCGATCGCATAAAGCAGTTATTTCAGGGCAGCAAATTGTTTTACCTAGACCTGACTGGCAATTATAAGACATCTGCACTTTTTTTTGGGTGACTAGATAAAAGAGTAGATAATAAAATTACATGTACTATTTCAGCTGCCTTGTAATATTATATATGGATTTGATTTAAGAACTGACATTACAGCACTCTGGGCATTCTCATAAGTGTTTCCTCCCCATCCTCAGCAGCCAGCACAGAGTTCTAATACCAACGGTGACAGTAGCAGTCTGATTATATGTTCATCTTGCCTTTCCTCTGAGCATCCAGTATCGGCCAGATCCCCTCGTCATTCCTTGCTGCATCACTCTCACCAGACTGTGATGATTAATTTGCTCTTCTGAACTGTACATAAGGCCTTAACCACACCTGTCTTATCATGTATCAATATTCCACCAAGCTGTGCAGAACCAGCCAATCTGTCCACCGGTTCATTTCCCAACAAACAAGCATTGCCTTGGAGAAAAGATCCAATGCTTTTTACCCCTGACCTACGAAGCTAGGCATGCCACTGCAGAATGTATACCAGTCCTCAGCATGCTTTCTTAGTCAGTTAAAACATGACTGCCACCTTATGCCACATGTTCTATACGGTGAGTACAGCTGTGTATTTCTCTGAACTCCTCTAAAAAAAGTTTATTTGCTCATATTTTTTTAAAATTCTTCTCTGGCATCGACATTGCCTCTTAACTCTACCAGACTAATGTCCGCTACTGGGGTAATTTTCTAACTTGCCACTATACCACTGTCCCAATTTTGCAGAAATTTGCGTACTACATGATAAAACGTGTCACAAACTAAAAATGGTTTAGATTTACTATCTGTGGTTTAAAGTGAAAATGTCTGTAAATTCACAATAAAAGGAGCGGCTGATGAACCAAGCACTTCGACAGAAAAGTGAAGTAGGTCTAGGCTTTTCACAGTCCCACAGATGATTGATACTTTCGTTGATTCAGACTCTGTGGAGCCATAATTTCATAAAGAATACGTTCCTAGTTGAAGGGACGCAGTCAGTGAGAGCTCGAATGATGAGGAGAATCTTGAAAATTATAAATCTAGAAATAGATCGATAGCAGGAGAAGGGGGCATGTCCCTCTAACAGCAACATGTGGTGTTACTTTGGGAAACAAGGCTGATCCTGCTGGGTGGATTGGCACATAAAGGTGGAATATTGACGCTAGAAAAAAGTTAAACCTATTTTTTACATTAGAACGAACAGCTGACCGCTCAGGTGCTGCTAGTGTAAATTCACCATCTGAATCACTTTAAAAAAAAATTATTTTTATTATAAGAATTAGAAAACATCTGACTGAAACAACTGCAGAGCTTCAGCCCCAAAAGGTGCATTTTTCAGCCTGTGCATGTGTTCAGAACATTGGTATCCATGGCCAGTCGAACAAGAAATCAGAAAATGCAGCATCTGAAAATGACACCAGCAATGAATCAGACCAATCTGCGCCCAAATATGTGAACATAGACTTCTGTCATGAAACCACCATGAGCCCTAGCTGTCAAAAACTTGAGAATCATCAAATTCTGCAAACATTGCAGAATGACAACGATCTGACGTCAGGAAGTAACCGTGTTGCCATGGGAATACCTCGCATTCTTTGATCCGCGAAGCATTATAGTCCCAGGTTTAACATTTGAAAGGATGATTAAAATATTTAATCTGATTCTATAATCGGACTATATGGTTAAAGTGGGAGAAAAGAATTATAACTATTATACATTAGTTTGCGGAGAATTCGTGGTTTTAGACCCGGTAGTGCTCACTACCTGTTGTTAGGGGTAACTTGTGCGCGCGACTCTATGATGCTTCGAGCTGTCACTGGGAACTCATTCTGGCAGAGGATGGCGAAGCAACAAGACCATTCTTTAGTTTCAACTCATGATTGGCATGAAAATGATGGTTCATATGCAGGTAAGATTACTTGTTAATCGATCGATAATTTAGCAGATGTGCTGCGACATGATCGGGTGGGTATTTCTAATTTTATTCGTGAAACTCCAGGTTAACTTTGCTCAACTTGGTTAGAATGACGGTTTTTGATATTCTTGATGTTTCTATTTCATTACTTTCAGGGTTAGAGATGATCAGGAGATCTGGGTATACTCTTTGTTGAATGGGCTGACTGAATTACAAGTCATCTATCGAAGGGACCTAATCTTTTTCTGTCACATCGGAGAGGTAAAATGAAGCGGTGAAGGTCAGGAGGAGACCGTTAGAAATTGTAACAATCGTCTATCATGTCTTCCACTATCACCAGACTGTTCCTTGCCCTACTCTGAAGATTAGTACCATCCTGAGAACTTTGCTTACCAGTGTAGACTCTCCATCTACTAATGTAAAGTGTACCTGTATCTGAATTCCTAATTCCATTAGGCCCAAACTGTACCTAAGTTGCAATCTGTGCCTACTCTTGTCTCTGTCCGATCATCTATAGAATACCTAAACATGTGGCTACAAATATTTTTTAATGTGTCTTTTTAGGAATGACCTTTTTGTTAGGAAACAAGAAACCTCAACATGAAACTTAAAACAACCATAATTCTCGAAAATCATCTTCAGCGGCAACATCTACATCGTTGTCAGCAACATCATCACCATTTGAGGGCACCAGGTATAGTCCTCAACATCACCAACAATAAGAAGGACTGGTGCAGAATCCTCAGGAACATCACATATTTTCGCAAGCATCTGTTGGATCATTATTCAACTGGTTTATGTCAGTTGAAATATTTTGTATGCCAATATGCATATTTATGCAGTACCTGCCCTAGTCATCATTTTCATCCAGTCAGGATAGGCAGTACATGCAACTGTTGTTTTGTTAACTCTGTTAAAAGAGTTAAGTGTGGTTACTTCATTATGAGGAATAGTCTTTAAGTTTTAGCGGTGGAGAGTTCCGGCCGTGACTGTCATCATCATCAAGATCCATGCTATTATCTGATGGGAGTACCAACTCTTCCTTTAGCGAAGTGAGAGAGTATTTCAAGTGAACGATCTACCTTCAAGGATGGAGTCATGCTTGATCCAGACCACGGTTCTTCTGTGGATAACTGCAACCCTCTGCAACACTGTTTGACTGTACCAGAGAATGTACTACGACTCTCAAGTTCAGGTCAGGTACAACTGTCTACAACTGACAGCAGTCACAGACTTGTGGTTGGGATACAGTTATTATGGGAGAAGTTAGGAAAAGGCACAGGGAACAATGACAATGAAATAACAGTTAAAAGATTCTTTTATGGATTGGAAACTATGTTCAGTATTATCTTTTGATTATCCTTGCTTGTAGTTCTTGAAGCTTTTTGTAAGTTAGGTTATGAAGATTAAATTCAAGTTTTAATAGTTAAAATGTCTAAGGTGATTCTTGTAGTGGTCTTGAGACACTGAGTTAACAAGGTATCTTTTCTTTCTGTATGTTGTTCCATAGTGGGAAGCATACATGAGGGCAGTCATTAAGTAGTGAGGGGGTTATTAAAAAGTCTAAGTCGCCTCATCCCAGTGGAGGTGTTTTCTGGATACTGAGAACCTACAAGGCTACCTTTTAGACCAATAACTGAGCCACCAGAAACAACTCTACCTTCACCGAGTGGTGGGTCTTTTAGTATTAATACCACTGAAAGGATAACCCACCATGTGACACCTTTTATCTCAGTATCCCATTACTTGGTGTTGGGACAACTTCTATACAAAGAAATATGTTAGAGTAACCTTTCCTGAATATTTTAATGGTAGTTCCAAACATTAGAAACAAACAGGGAGCTGTAAAAGAATCAATATGAGTGGGACACACGACCGACAAAGAAAGTGTTGTTTGGGCAAATAGGAACTTCTCAATCAACACGCATATCGTTGCTCAGGCCTCAAAGAGTTAATTGTTTAGGTATCTGTCTCTGAAATAAAAATAACTGTAGCTCATCCCCCCCCCCCCCCCCCCTCCAAAAAAGTATTAAAGAAAACTTCAGAGGGATCTCTCTTCCTCCATGTTCTATTGCATTTGTTTCTGGCCCAGGACACTGCCTGTCTGGATAATGTTTCTACATGTAATTTATAGCTATTTCTCATCTCTGTATTTCACTCTTTGTGTCATTATTTCCAGTTTAGAATGTTTTATGTATCTCGTCTCCAAGCTCGAGGCCTATGGACTTTATTACTTAGGTTTGGATTTATGTCAACCCAGCCTCACAAAATGTTTTGGCTGATAAGATGGCCATCATTATACTGGCAGCATAAGGTGGCAATGATTATACTGGCTACATAAGGTGACAATGATTTATACTGGCCGTATAAGGTGGCAATGATTATACTGGCTACATAAAGTGACAATGATTTTACTGGCCGCATAAGGTGGCAATGATTATACTGGTTGCATAAGGTGGCAATCATTATACTGCGTACATAAGGTGGCAATCATTATAATAGCCACATACGGTGGCTATCATTATACAGGCCATATGTGCCTTGTGTGTTAGTTAGTTGCGTATCCTTTACAAGATCTTGCAGAACCAACTCCAGCATTTATTTGGCAGTTGTGGTTTTTTAAGCACATTTTACCGTTCAGTAGTTTGTTACTGCTTTCTTAAACGTGAGCTCTCGGTTCCACTGACAAAACCAATGCAAGACAAATCATCCACAGCTGAGATCGAACCCGGCACCCCAGCATTATGAAGTGCGTTCGCAACACCTAAGCCACAGACGCTGACTTAATATAATTAATCTTAGTTTATTATAATGTCATTTCTTATTGAATAATTGAAACCCACAGAATATAGGCTGTAAGTAAAAATAACAAACTCCAGGTCGAGTGCTCATGAATGATCCACACACACACACACAAAAAGACTGGCTACACATACATTACCTTGAAGTCAGAGATGGAAAGGTCTTCGAATCTGCCTGCAACTGAAGTGCCAGCACAGTTAATCAAAAAATCCACAGCACCTAGGGTCTTTTCAGCCTGAACATCAGGAGAGAGGGATTTAAACAAAATAAAATTCAAATTTTAAACCCTTCTGTATGTTCACAGAAGTGATCTAACTGATGATCATCAAAATACAAAATAACATTACCAAAATATACCACAGATAAAAGGTTTCAGTTTATGACATTACAAGTGCAATGGAAATATGATAAAATATGGCCTGTAAATATTAATAACATTATAAGTGACCCATCAGCTAAAGACAGCAGAAACATTTATTAACAGGAATAACATCTTCACTGACTGACTCTTCCAGTAAATGAAAGCTACAATGATTTGCCAACTGGCTGTAAGCTTTAGCAATATCTTCTTCTTCTTCTGTCGTATGATACTGGTAGTCTTTTCTATCCACAACCTTTTGTTACGATAGAGCTATCTTCTAGGATATCTTCTGCAGTGGTGTCAAACTGTCCAGTATCTTCTCTCTGACTTTCCCACAGTCATGATGTACTCATATTCTCCTTCTCATGACATGACCAACAATTGTAGATTGTCAACTTCTGGTCTGGGCAATCAGTTCTCTTCATGACATCTTCATTACTTCCTAGTGCGGTTTCCAGGGTCCCCCTTTTTGGGGAGTTGGTGGTTGGGGGGGGGGGGGGGTGACAGTACACATCCCTGTGTAATGTTTTAAAAAGTTCCCATATGGCTGTTAAGTCTAATTGCTGCTATTAGTTTGGAAAACAAAATTATTATCAAAACATTACTAATTATAATTTCTTCATGTTTTACCTTTTTAAACGCTTTAGTGTAATCAATAATACACATGTTCATTTCAATCATTCTTTCTGTAAGTGTTCTCAAGATAAATACAGTGTTGTTAGTGCTTTTACCTTCAATAAAACCACACTGCAAATACATATTTCTGTCACACTGAACAATACAGGTCTTATTTTAAGTGAATATTATTATATTATTTCCTAGTGTAATAGTTATGCCTGCTTTTTGTGCTGAATGTGCTGCGTTCTGGCAAACACTTTAAAAATTATAAAGTTTCAGTTCTTATTACTTTCGGAAATAATAGACCTAAGTACCAAGCATTTAACAAAAATTAACAGGATAACTACTACTGTGTGCTGGTTGAGAAGCCACTAGCTTTGTCAGTCAAGCTTGTAAGGCAGTGGAACGGATAAAAGAGAGTTAGATGCACTTAGAGGCAATGATTGAACATACGGTGGCGATGGAGACATAGAGGATTGGAGAATACAAACTGTCTTGCATTATCCTACTGTAAGAAAGGTAAAGGGGGGCTGAAACATTCAAAGGATGTTTCTTACGTGCAGAGTGGCAAGCATTAAATC